AAGACTTGTTTAATTTTAGACGGCACTACGACTATTGTCGCTTGGACATAAAACCAATTTGAGCCTGATGGAACTCCTCGTCGTTAGGCCCAAGATATGTGGATGAGCCGAGTTGAAGTGCCTGTGCGGTTATGTAGTCCAGTCCGAGCTTGAGAATGAAGCAATTGACACCAAGCAGATTTGTCGCAAGATGATAAAATGAAGATGGAGAAGAAGAAGACGAAAACTTGAAACCAAAGCAACCAGACTTGGGAGGGGGTGAACAACAGTGGGCTGATGTGGGATGTTTATAAATTAGTGAATATAAGTCAATAAATCGATAAGAAATTGTATGGCATGTACTCGGTGTTGTTGTCCATCAGTCTTCAAGGATTTGTCTGAAGAAGGAAGGTAAGGAACTGGGGGCGGTGCAGGTTTTTATATGTATGTATGTGGCCAGCCTCCAAGCTGACAAAAGAGTCTACAAAAAGACCCAAGAGAGGGGGCAAACAGGAAACAGACGAGATGTATGCATGGTGAATGTGTAGGACGGGTTACGTAATCGAATGCAGTCGACTTTAAGGTTCGACTTTTGAAAGCTTGTCTCAGTCAGTCTGCTCACCGTGCAGCACAAGGCAGGACCTGTGGAGCTACACCCCTTACACTGTAGAAGTGCAGTAAGAAATGCATGCAAATGCACTCCTACAGTGCAAAAGCCGTGAATCCCGCTCCCAATCCCGATCCCGCAATCCCGCAACCTCCCACCCCTCAGAAATATTTCCAGAGTGTGGCCCTCGAACCAGAGAGGCCCACACCGCTGCACTCCAAATCAAAACACTCGGTAAGACTTAACGAGACTACAGTATTTATGTACTTAAATGTATACATAACAAAAACCATAGCAAACACATATTTATGTGATATAGTCTGACCGACCCAAATCATACATAAATACATATCCAACACCAAAACCTTGTCAGCTCCAGACGTCCGGCTCCACACCTTGTGTCCCCACTGAGCCCTTTAATTCCCCTCATAAGCCCCCCAACTCCTGTGGCACTATCCACTCAGTCGTTCTTCGTGATTGGACCCATGTTGAAGATGTGAAAATGTGAATTAAAGATTCATGCATTGTGATATAACATACATACATAGTACAATGAAAAATAACAAACAATAAAACTAGTAGTCATGGAAGAAAGACAAAATACAAAAAGTGCAGCGGAAATATTTAAGGCTGTTCGTCATCCTCATCGACAGGTAATAATTGATCGGTGTGGGAATTTCCAGCTGATTCACCATCTGAGTCTTGTTCATCAAGCACCAATTCCTCTAAAATGAAGTCCGCCGCACCTGATTCATTGACCTCATTATATATATCTGATTCAAGGAATTCAATCAAGGCAAACCACCGGTCTGGTAAGACAGTGCGAGTTAGTAGTCCCTCTGAGAGCATCTGATTGATTGTGATGTGCCATGCACGAAGCAGTTCTTCATGCTGCTGCTGGTACATTTCCATCTGGCCAGCCAGCAATCTTGTTGCACCGCGTCCTTCTTCACCAAACGCATCATTGAGGACTTTTCTGAGTCTAACACTTAAGGGGCCTGCAGAGGGGTTTATGTGTCAGTTTTATTATTCTCATTAAATTTAGGTGTAAGGTGTACTGGCATTGCATCAAAAACATACCTTGAATGCACTGATCAATGCATGATTTTACTTGTTCTCTGTGAGAAATTCCCCATGAGACAGTCCTTTGTAATTCAATATTCAATTGATCAAGTTCTTCTTTTGATCGATCCAATGCAAGTACAGAATGTATTCCAGATCTCACATGAGGATCGATGGCCCATGGCTCCTTGGAATGGCACAAGTAGCCATCATTCCAGAAAGGGTCGTCAAGCGCTATTTTCTTGAATTGATTATAATCGATTGCTGCATTTTCAGGAAGATTGAGTTGTTCGGGGCAATGGTTCTTCAGGTAGTCGGTACGCCGGGCAAGGAAGGTGTTGAGAACAGGAATTACCGATTTTTTACGGCGATTGAGGGCTTCAAAAATCTTCTCTTTCAAAACAGTACCAAGTCGATTGCTTCGAGACTTTGAATCGTGCAAAGGTTGTGTTTCACCCTGTATTTCCACAGCAGCTTTGTAGAGTGCTGATTTTGCACTCCAAAGCAGGCCAAGCCTCCGTTGCTCCTCCTCTCAAACATTCACTCAGTATTAGCATTAGATATAAGGTCAATTGGCACTTGT